GAAAGAACTAATTTAATACCTGTTGAGAAAATACGTGTGCTATTATGTAAGTAAGATTTTCTTCAAGTTTAAACCAAGGGCAGCTAGTTTGAAACTTGCTGCATCTGTTGCAAATGCAAAGAAATGATTTTGTGGCAGAAAACTTGAGCTCTTTTTAACTCAACTCTATCGCCTGCTATAATAAATATAGTATAGACAAAATGACAATTTTTAATGTCTTTGATTGCACTGAGACTTACTCCAGGAACTGTCAAATGTTATTGTAACTGTACAGCACTAGAATTCCATAATTCTACATGCTTTATGATGTAGTTACAAGTAGAGTTTTAAAAGTAAGATAAATACTACATAGAATTAATTTTCTATTCTTGCAAGTGCTCAGTATTATTTTGGAATCTGATGTTTGAGGTTTTCATAGTTCAACAGTAAGTCTGCATAGTAATAATTTTAAGGGACCATTTTGAGTCTCCTGTCATAGTATGCAGAGTGAATGAATAAGGTAGTGCAAATATATATATTAAAGAAAGCTAGTAACTAATCATGTGGGCACTGAGCTAGCCGATTTGACAAATGATGTGTGTTGCAAAAGGCACATTAGTACTTCTGCTCAAAAGCTGTTATGGTTTTCAGTATATTTTCTTTATGATACAAAATGACAGGGACTATATGGGATGTGCCCCATGTCCTGAAACTGCAGATATGTGTTCTCCTTTAAGGGCACTGATCTAATTTTTTTCCCCCTATAACCTTCATCAGAGGTGGCTGAGAGAATGCATTTAACAAGAAAATCTGTAAACAGGAAATATAACAGTTATTTTGTCACATATAAAAATATGTATTATAAAGCTAGGAGCTGATAATACAAATGTGCGTAACTGTTAAGAGTTTATAAAGGTATATTTAATCCCTGCGACCTACATGTTCAGTGTACAAAACTTTTTGGTCAAATGCTGGATTTTTATTCCTCTGTGTGCATAACACGTGAACACAACCAACTCAAGATCCTTCCCTTTGGTCCTTCAGAAGCAGCACCCTGCCCTCACTAATTTGATTGCTGTGCAATACCTCCCATGTATTGCAACTGCTGAAGCTTTTAGAAATGGCACACAGGGACACTAACCATAGCATTGAGACAGCCAGGACTGTAGACCAGGGGTGCACAGCTTGGAAACTGTCAGGAGAATACGACTCCTGAAGGTAATACCCCAACTGCACATTCATGCAGATAGCAGAAGTACTCAACAGACTGGATTGTGCTAAATGACACTTCTTTTGTGTGTGTTGGGGCTCTGCATTGGTTGGAGTATACCATCAGGAGAATAATCCACAGGAATATTGTCTTGCCTTAACATTTCTGTGGGTTCATTTTGGTGTATTTTGTAATGGATAGAGATTGTAAGTGCCAAGAGAAGTGCAGCTTAGTAGGGTGCTTGATTGTTCATAATCAAAAGCTTTTAGTTAGGATTTTTAAATCAGGAGTTGATGGAGAGCTGCATGGTCTTGCATAAGGCAGTCTCTCCTGCAGACATCTCCTTTCAGGCATTATCAGCATGACTTCTGCCCACCCAGTGTAACATCACTGACTGCACTACACTTACTTCTGATTTACAACAGGGTGAGTATTTCACAACCTTTGGGGCATTCTAGACATATTCAGGAAGTATTTCTGCCTTCTTAAATACAATGAACTGACACCTTGCATTGTGAAGGGTTCAAACTTTGGATCCTCTTCTGCTGCAGTATCAAAGTTTCTGTTTTATCGTTGGCCTTTTGGCTCACACCAGAGGTTTTATTCTGCTAGTGATTAATTTCCATGTGTTCACATAAGCAGACACTTGTGAACTAATAAAATTCCAAGTGTAATACTACATTGCTGAAGGCAATGAAAGGTCAGCATGACATGATTTAAAGACTAGTATTCAAATAAGAATACGAGACAAAGAAAGATATTCATATTATTTTTGACTCCACTTTTAGGCTTTTGATAAAGACCCTGTCTAACTGTCTTCTATCAGATGATTTAATTCAAAGCGATACGTGAAAGGGACCTGCAGGATTAGGTCCTAAGAAATTAAAATGAAAATCTTTTAGGAATATTTCAGTTTTAATAAGGTTGTTAAATCTTTGCAGTGTTTCTTGAACTGATTTGTTTCCAAGGGAACAACAATCTGCAGTGCTATAAGCCTCTTTAATGTTAGCACATTGCAGGTAAGGAACCTCTGTTCCCTGGCAGTGTTTATCATTCTTTTTTATTGTCAGAAAAGGTTCTCATCCATTTTGCCTTTTCTCCTCATTCTTCAGAGTTTTCTGTAATTTAATTTCCTTGCAGTATTACAGTAATTCCAACAAAAGTACATATGTCACTTTCTAAACATTATTGACATAGCAATAGAAAATAAGAAGTATTTGAGGGATTTATTTTGGAACAGAAAGTTAAGTTGTAGGCGTGCCATGTTGAGATACCAGATACCATATCCTCAGGTGTCAGCCTGGCTGGGATGGCTCCGTCTACACAGTGTCTCGATTCTGGTTTGGGGTGATTTTTTTCAGTAATAAATCTAAATCAAATTGGGGGAGGGAGAGAAGGGGGGAACAAGAGAAGAGAAAATTCATAGGAATTTTGACTGATCTGGCAAAATAAATCCACATGGGGAAAAATTCTGGGTGGTGTAAAACCACCAAGGTATTCTGCTCTGCTACCATGTAAAATACAGCCCCACCTCTGTGCAAGATCTCCTATCAATTCCAGTTAGCTGTACAGGAGATTGTTTTGTGGTAAATGACCAACCCACGTTTTGTACTCGGGGAATGTTTTCTTTCCGGGGAGCATGGAGAAGAAAGCTTCACAGGTTGTATGTGTTGCATTTGCAGGTACTACAGTGTTACCAACCTGTCACATAAATAGGTATGGTTTGGGGGTTTCTGTGTAAACAACTGCTGCAGAGTTTCTTAGGAAACACGGGTGTGTTCTATGAAGTGCTGAACATCCATTTGGGAAAAATCCGATCTTGCCTAAGACGTGCTTTTTGTCACAGACAAAATCACTGTTTGTAAAATCTAGATCATGGGCCTGAGCTAAAAATGAAAATTCACTTTATTGTGTGCTTTTTCACATGGTATTTCACAACGTTATTTGTTGAGTTAGATCTTTAGTAAAAACAGCATGGAGAATGAGAGTTCATTGGTGTTTTACTTCTGGGATTTCAGTCACTATTGGTGATCTTAATGAAGCAAAATATAAGTTTAAATTATCAGAGTTTTAGTAGAATAAGTTAATTTTGGAAGCAACTCCATTGGCTTCATTACAATCGATAGAGTTGATTCTGACTTATTGAATGTATTACTATTTTGTGAGCGAGTTAACAAGAGATGTGTGTTAAAGATGCTTCTTTTATAGTTAGAGAGGAAAAAAATAAAAGTCCAAGCATGAATTTTAACTTCTCTGATCTCAGAAGGCACTTATCCTGAACTCTGCTAGCCTGCACATTAGATACTAATTGGCAATGCTTCTTATTTAGATAGTTTAGTTACAGTTTTATGTTGGAAGGGAGAACATTTCTATGTCAGCTCTTTGCATTAGACAAACATTAAAAAATATTGGGTAGGGAGAAACATGTTCATGTCGTGCAGAGTTCTTACCTATTCCACTGAAAATTTGAGAAACATTTAGGTATACCTTCATCAACATTGTTTGATGTACACTTAAGATCCTAGAAGAAAAAGGGCCAACCTACATGGTAATTTTGGCAATCCTGTACATAGTTTAAAATGAGTGAAATAAGAAAGCTAAACCCTCATTATTAAATCAGTAATAATTCTACTTCCTAATAAGAACAGACATTAAAGAGGGATGCCATTTTGTTACTGACTTCACAGGTTTTACCCTATTTTAGCTGTGCTGTAAAGAAAAATCAGGTTTTGTCTAGTAAAAAAACAATAGCTGCTAATGTAAGTTAGAAATACAACCATTTCTTTTAGATCAAAAAGAATGCCTGTTTGAACAAAGTATATTAGTTTCTGGTGCATAAAGCAATTATAAGATCATATAGTTTTTGTTGCAGTGGTGTTGACATGTTTGTAGGTGAGCCAAAATGAGCAGAACCCCCTCTTACTCTACTCAGTCTGTTGTCAAAAAAGATACAGTTCTGAAAGTACTTCATTACTGAAACATAAAAGATAACAAGGCAAAACAGCAAAACAATTAGCTTATTGATAATATTTAAGCAGTGTTCTAAGTTACCCACCTGTTGAACTCAATAGAAATTATGTCCCCAAATCACTGAAGTTTAGAAAAGCTGCTTTCCCATAAATGCATTACCAGGCAGTGGGGAGGATTGTGTATGTGTGGAAGGCTGGGGAGATTCATGCATGTAATTCTGTAAAGCAAAATCAATAAAGCTGATGACAGATTAAGTTGCTAAATTTTGTAAAACTAGACTACTGCTCGGGTCATCAGCACAGCACTATTGGATTTTCTATGGTTTAATGCTGAAAAACAGGATTATTGATTTTAGGCTTTTCAGCGTATCCCCTCTGGGAGTTCTTAAGCAGTCTTTATAATGCTTCACACTTAAGTTGACAACTACAGTGACATAACTGTGTCCTCGCCTTAGTAATCATTTTCTAATCATATTGGAAAGGCTGGAAATGGTTTATAAAATGATTATTCCAGACAAACGGGGGAACAGGAGGGTTGTCGGGATGTCGTTTCTTTGTCTGGTGGTCATTGCTACCTGCCTACCATCTTCTCTTGGAATTAACTTACAGTCACAGATTAAGACCTTTGACTGTCATAAATCTGCTTCCCAATATGTTTGACTGGCAGGGGAGTTCACAAGCTGTCCCAATATAAATAGGATTTTAGCACATCAGGTGCTGCTCCAAAGTAAAACGGGCTGTTTTGCCGTCGACTTTGTTGGTGTATATTCATTGCTCCTCTCCCGTTCTATGTGTATGCATGCCTGCGTGTATATGCATGTGTGTGTGTACGTGAAGTAGAAGCTGAGATAGGGTAACAAAATGAACTACTGTATGCAAGAAATATATGAAGTGCACCCAGCTGCCGGTAGCAATTGCTACATGCAGTCCACTGATTATTGCACATATATCGAAGATAATCAGGGTTACAGCAGTTGTGATGCTCAGGTCCTGCACAGTAACAACATATATATGGAACAGGCCTGGGCGGTGAATCAGCCTTATACCTGTAGTTACCCTGGAAACGTGTTTAAAAGCGAGTACTCTGACATGGACATGGCCCTGAATCAGTACAACCAACCTGAATATTTCACAGAAGAAAAACCTACTTTTTCTCAAGTGCAGTCGCCATCGTACTCTCAGAAGAAAGGTAGGGGCAATTTATTTAAATAACAAACAAAATATAATCTCTGTTTTTGTTTTTGTTTTGCTTTAAACTTACAGTTGCATCACTTGGCTCAGATACATCTTTGGATGTGAAAGCTGCCTGTTCAAAATTGAAAGCAGCAGTAACATAGGTTGCTAGGTGATTGTAAGGTTTTTCTGTGAGCAATGAGGATTTCCAAGCACTTTTTCTTAATCTGTAAGAAATATTTGCAAATATATTGCTTGTTTTGTGCTTTCCGGGGCTATTAAGTTCATTTGCTATTCACCAATGAGCTAGGTAAGAAAGTTTCTCTTAGAAAATATCGTCATTATGTATTCTGCGTCTTAAAGCTGTGCTTCTGGTTACATACAATTTATGTGAGTCCTCATTATCAGCAAATGTGGACTGTGTGTACTGAGGAACTTGGGCAAAAATATTTTGAAAGTAGAACTGTAAATATGTATGGGAAAATTATTACATTTAGTAGTTATTGTCTTTTAAGTGAAAGCCATGTAGTTTCTGATTATGGAAAGAAAAAAAGACTGAAAACACAAGAACGTATCTATGCAAGAAAGGCTATTCTGCATCCAGAAAGTTGATGTATTTGTGAGAGACAATCAGAGTGCAATATCTGCTCCCTTCAGGTGAAATCATTGCCTGTTTTTAATGTTTATTCTTTTGCTTTCAAGTAAGCAAAGCAGACTCAAAAAAGAGCCCAAAATACCAACAAACACTTGGAAATGTTTTTGATGCTACTTGCTTTGAACTTAGACAAGCAAACTGATGTATACAAAGTATATGACCTCTGTGTTTCTTTAAAATCACATTATTAAAGGATAAAAATACAGAGTCTGTTGTACCAGCATGATGTCCTTTTTCTGTTAAGACTAGATTTTATGTATGCAGTTACCTAAAACGCAGGTGAATCTGATGTACCGAGGTAGACAGGGAAAACACCATTTACTACTTTCAAAGTGGCTTTGTAGTAAAAAGTAGGCTGATTAATCTTATTAACTATATGAAAAACTGCAATATTTTCTTTTATGTAGGCAATATTCATTTAGCACTTGGTGCAATAGATCTATTGCAGTAGAAATCTATGTTCGGTAGAAAAATGTCTGAATTTTGCTCTTTGAACATCACTGTACTTCATAGTAAAGGAAATGTTTTTTAAAATCCTATTCTAGGAAGCTAGCAGAACATGATCAAATTGTAGACTAAATGTAATTGTGGATAATGCCTGTTTTTGTGTTGTGGAACATTTTAAATGCTTTTTAAGGCTATTATCTGCTATTGGGTTTTAAGTAATGAATTTATAAGTCTTCATAGACTTTTCTCACGTCTTGTTTATGGTTAAAGAAAAATAACACTAAGGATTAATGTAGAGAAAATAAAGACTTATTATTGCAAAGTCAGTTAAGGAATAAATATTTCATAACGTTAAAGGTTATAAATAATAATTGATATACTGAGATCAGAGCTTTAATTAAGATATTTCAGGACTCAGACACCTGACATCTACTCTGTTTAAAGTTTTTGTACTTGTTTGATTGAAAGAATATGGAGTAGTTTTTAAAAGCTGCTTGTCTGCCCTTGTTTTCTACCACCTCAGTTTCACTAAGTAACGGCAGTGAATTTTGGTGGAAGCTGGCTCTCAAGCAGGCTTTTAATTGATCATTCACAGAGACTGAGCAATGTGCTCTGGGATTCTTTCAACCCGTAGAGCCTTATTACTGTGATAATGAATAAGAAGTTGCCTCCCTTCTGTCAAACCTTTGCAAATGCTGAGTTTGTTAAGCAGAAGGGATCTAAACTCTCTGGGACGTGCATCTTCCTTTTTTTTTCCCTAATTTCCATCTTTTAACCAAGCTATCCTGAAACTAACGAATCTTTTAATCCTGTCCTAAGAACAGAAGGCTCTACATAGGGCATGTGTGTCTGTATTGATCCAGAATTGATTTGGGGGGGGGGGAAGAGGGAGTTTGTTCGAGAAGCCTTAGTAATAGCCCATTAAAGCAAAATTAGGTCCCTAAGCAGGTGTTCATGAGGAGTCTTGATTATTGCAGTTGGTATTTCTGTTAGTTCTCTGAAATTTGTAGCAATCTCAGTAGTACGCTGTTCAAATCAGATTGTGCTTCGCAGCAGCACATGGAGTCTTTCCCTGTCCAAACTTTTACGAGTTATTAAATGGTTCAAATCTTTTTCCCTCCAGGCAGAAAAAAAAATCAACCTTTCGTATGCTGAAAAATATCTCCTTTAGGAAGTGGAGTTTAATTACTGCTCTATCTTTACGTCTTTAAACCTTCATCTTTTTATTCTTTAAAATAAGTCAGAAAATAACTTTAAAAAACAAGAACCAAAGACCCCAACAAAGTGGTACTGAAGGAAAAACTAAAGTACTTAGAAAGTGTGGCCAGTTATTCTAAAATATAGGGAAGCACTTAAGCTGCTCCATTACAGTACATTAAAAACTATTATTTCCTGATTAACTGTCACAAATTCTGATGAAATTGTAAAGGAAATTATAAAGGAAATTGTAAAGGAAAAAAACATGCTCCAGAAAATCAAGAGGTGGAGGTGCAGTTTTAGCTTTACATCTACTTGCTGCTCCTTTTCTCTCTTGTGCTGTAGTGTATGCTTTTAAAATGTAGTAGCACAATATTCGTGCAAGAGCTTACTGTTTTATTAAGCAAGCCCTTCTGGACCCGGTCCTACCGTAGGAGACAGGCAGCCAGATACACTTTGTTTTCTGTCGGGACTGTGAAATCTGATGAGCGGAACAGGGCTCATCACTGTGAGAATGAAGTGCTATTCCCAGTTCTGCCTCAGCTTAAACTGGAATATTTTTCCCCTTTTACGGTGCCACTGGTCATGGTGAGCTTGCAGCACTGCACACCGGATGGGTGATGCTCTGGGGGAGCCCATGCCACCCTGCCCTTGTGCCAAAGCTGAAGGTAGGCAGAAGCGTTCCTGGATCTCTTCATGCTGCCTGTACAGTGAGGAGGAGTACCCGGTGACAGGGTAAAGGTAGTGCAGCCTGAAAAGTACAAAAGAAATACGTACAGAGGTCCAGAAACCTCAGTATCTCTACGTTTGGTGTGCGCGCAGTGTTCTGGCCATTTGTATGATGTGAGAAATAGGTCTGCAAAGTTAAAACTTGGGTGATAGTTATCGTTCACTTCCCTTTGCAAAGTTATTTCCTGGACAGAGTTAACAAAGGATGCCCGTGGGTGTCTGTGAGGTTAGGCTTTAACTTCAGGCTCTGTGGGTGGACCAGAAGTAACCAGAGGCTGCCCCCCAAACCAAGGATTTGCAGAAGGGAATTCTTGAGTCGGGCTGTAACAGTGCCAGCCCCTCAGCTCTGTGGCTCACCTTGCTTCCCAGAAGCTGATTTTTAAGGGCTCTTGTTATGGTGGGAGAATGGGGCTTTAAAAGTTATTATCGTTGTTATTATTATGGTTGTAAAATAATAATGTATATAATAGTAATTGTCATTATTATTTCCCTTTATATTCTCAGGCAGTTTACGTGTGAGAATACGTACTGTATGAGTGCGAGAGTGTGGGACCGAATTAGTCCAAACTGAGTTCTTCGTCATGTGAAAACATTAGGGCATTTTCTGAATAGCTAAGAAAATGCAACATGGAGGTTATATCAGAATGTCTTCTCATCAGTGCAGGCAGTATGTGTGCATATAATCAATTTACAAACACACTGACAATTTGTTATCTTGGCCTTTGCAGCAGAGTGGCTCCCAGTATGTTAACAATTGTTTGGGCTTAAATTGTTTAATTTTGCTCTTGACCATCTGTCTAAGGAGATAGCACTGATCAGAAAAATCACGTCTTACTCAGCAAATCACTGGAATTATATGTTTCTTTTTAATAAAAATATCAGTGGAAAAAGAGTTTTCAACTCCTTTACTGTAACCTTTCCACAACCAAATGAAAGGTGGGAAAGTGAACTAAGTCATACTTTGCTTTTGCGTCAGTAGTAAAACTGATACTCAGTGAGGCTTAGATTTCTGAATAGGGAAGTTACGTGTGATACTGAGCAATGGTGTCTAAAAACCTTTAAGTAATTTGGGGGGAAATTTGGCAATGCAATAGTGCATTTTGTGCCTGTGGTTCACAGTGATGCAAGTACAGAAGTGATCACAGCAGTTTAAGTGATAACACAGTTTGGACTAAAATGTTTTCAGCACATCTGGACAAAACACACAACTGTTGATAAGGTTTCTGACCCAGCCCAAAGAACGGAGTTAGTACATAGAAAAGTCACTGAGGGAAAAGAGACTGTAAAATATTCCAGATTCTATCTTTACAGAATCTCTTGCCAAATTTCAGTAATTCCATAAATCAAAGAATGTCAGCAACGATTGAAATTGCAGACAAAAAAGCCAGTTAGCTAACAAGAAATGTGAGAATCTGTTTTAACAACATTCTCGGTGCTTCCGAGCAAAATGGAGAAATAAGCAACTTTTCTCAGTGGGAATAATTTAAAGGAAATGGGAAACAAGGATCAGTGTACAGCCTACCCTTTCAGATCAATATTGGTAATAGCACAAACAAGAATGGAGTGTGCTTTTTCACTCAGCTTTATGCATTCTCTGATAAACACTCAATTTAAGCTTTTTCAACACAAGGATGTATCTTGGATGATATCTGGATGGTTCTTGTAAATTTTTGTAATTTATAAAGAGTTACAAATGTGACTATGGAATCGGTAGAACAGCATATGAATTTTCTTTTCAGTTCTAACACAGCTGAGGATTCTCAAGGTAGTAATTAATTTCATCTTTTTCATTTTCATATTGCAGTGTCTAGTAAGTGAATATGAGCTTACTGGTAAATCCTAAACTCCTCATTTTAGTAAGTGGTCTCTAGTTATGCAAACCATACTAGATAGGGAAAAGAAAGATTTCAGGGAATATATTTAATACATGACTCTGCCAGTGTACAGTGAAAATCGAAATACTGAATAATGGTCTTAAAACACGAGTGTCCTTGTGCAGTAGCAAAAAATGGCTTTTTTCTGCTTGCACGGTCTAAGCCTATGGTGGATCAACAGCTAATAAGGAACATCTGGTATACAGACATCATTTGTTTGTGGTGTTGTCACTCATATCCCTGTTTGATATTCAAATATGGTTTGGGTCCTAGAATCTTTTTAAGGTGTGGTTTAATCCCTAAACCCAGTATTACATTATCTGTACAGACACAGACCCGGAGATGTAAAGTCTGTGCAATTATACTTGAACAAAACTGAAATTGGTTCTTTTCTCAAACGTGTTTGGGGATTTTTTTTTAATGTGTGCCAGGTATAGAGGAAAAAAAACAGTGTAATTTTTCAGGGGTTGTGTTCTTTTCAGTAGTTTTTCTTTACCTTGTTGCAGGAGAGGGGCAAGAATAGCCACCGAGTGTCTCATTTGTGTCCATCTGTTACATATAATGCTTTAAGGTATCATTCCTGCAAATGGTAATTTGTCAGTGTAGGCATACAGTATTAATGAAACAGAGTACCTTAGATGACTGCATAGGTTAGCAGATCTCATTCTGTCCTTACAGCTGCTGGGGCAAACTCATGGTGCATTTTCCTATCTAAGGGAATAATTTCTTTCCGTACCTCTACAATGCTAGTGTTACAATTTAAAAGATATTGTAAATCAACATCAAGATTGCTATAATGGATTATACAACGTATTATTCTAGACAGGGGGAACTGGTCTTGCTGAATACTTAGCTTTGCCAAGACAGTAAGATTAGGTGGCCGGGCAGGTGGGAGTCTGGGGAACAAAGGAGTTGCATTAGGCTGCAGGGAAAGCACTAAACATGGCAGGTCAAGGTCATTCACTGGTGTTCTCCACTCCAAGGTGGGCATGGGGATGCACAAGATCAAGTCATACATGATGGATTGTTAATTTTGAGGATCATACAGGATACACCATATGGTAGACTGTGAGGATGTTAGAATACAGCAGACAGAGGCTTGAAAGACTGAAAAATGATATTGGTTAGTATTGTACAGTTCAGTGAGATTGGTGATGCTTTTGAATGGTTCCTCATAGCTATTTACTCAGTAGGTTTTGACCAGTAAATACAGGATGAAATATGAACACCAGGAATAGAAACCTGCCCAGTGTTCCCATGAGATTTGTCATCAGACATTCTTCTTTTATAAGAGCACCTGCGCTGCTCTGTCCAGACAGCATCTGCTTCCTTCACAAAGGAGGGGGTTTTTTTTTGGTTCAGAGTTATTAAACACACAAGAGGCCAAAGTACTTGCTGATATGAGAAACAAGTCACTATTAGTCTGCCTCTCATGTTTTTTCCCCAAGTGCTGAAAGAGTGAGAGAAGTCTTCTGCTCTGCTTCTTCCTCAAACCATCCAACAGACAACTCTGCTGCCATCCATGGTTTACCCAAAAATCTCCATTACACTATTCATAGCTTCCATGCTGGTACCAAGTTTGGAAATTTTGCTGATACTGTTTCTGACTCTGAGTAGCAGCAGAAAGGCACTGAGGCACTTATCTGCACGTCTTACAAGTTAAATTGCATTGTATTTATAGAGGTCAGACTGGATCTTTGCAGCTACTAGAAATAATTTACAGTGGACATCGCAGTGTGTATGAACTGAATGTAAGTCCCATTATTCCTGTTGGCATGATGTCTGTCTGAATTATATATTTTTAGAATACTGCTGAAGGTCCAATTTTCCTTATTTCTAGCTGTTACTGACTCCGTTAGCTGTTGGAAGGAGGGTTAAAAAGATGTTTATTGCACACTTTTATTGCCAGTGATTTCTTGGGATAAGATTTTTTCTATCCATGTTTTCTGTCAAATCAGTAGAAGAGTTCAAGGTGTGTACTTACTTGTGACATGGGCACAATCCTGCAAAAGTGATGAACATAGTAATTAAGTATTTTAAATAGATGGCACTTAACATTTCTGATGCCGCAAAAGTGGGAATGAGGTTGCATATAAGGATGCCATTTTTAATTTCTTACTAGAAGTGCCTGTAGGAGATCTGTCTTTTCTGCCAGGTTGGAAACTGGTTCCTGGGTTGAATAAAGTCATGAAACTCCAAGGAGATGGACACCAGTGGTCACATGTACAAGCTACTCTACATATTAAAGAAGCAGCTTAGACAAGTGGTCTCCTGCTCCTCCAATAGAACAAAGCTGCCGTTACATGAGCAGTGCTAACCAGATTATATACTTAATGAAATATCAAGGCATTTAATTCACAAGTAATTCTTAAAGAAGCAAGCCAGGGATACTGAATTTTAGATGACATAGTCTATGCCACACTAAGTCTGTGTTTCATGAATAGCAGTAACTAGCAATAACAAGAAGCCATCAATCTTTATGAGAAATTCAGTGTAAAATCCCTTTGCTGCCTCTGCTGCCTCTTGTATCAGCTCCATGTTGCATGTGTTGCATGTGGAGAGGCAGGTGTGAGCAAAAGGGAGACAGGATGGAGATAATAGCCTCTGCTAATCCCCCACTGGCATAATGTCCATTAGGAGTCAGTGATGTAAATTAGAGTCGAAACCCTGCTGTCTGTCTTCCCTCAAGGTCACAGGACCAGCTCTGTCTTGTCCACCAGTCTTTATCCAAGCATAACTCGTTCATCATGGAGAAATGTAGCCTGAATGTAAATCTGATTTTTTACTGTATTATTGACTGATGTTATTCATCAGTAAGACCTCAGCTCATTCCCCCACTCTTCTTTCAGATGCCAGTAGGACTATTGGCAAACCTGAGATGCAGGGCATGGCTTCAGAGTCCTCCTGCTTCCCAGCATTGTGGAAAGACAGAACAGACTATGAGGGTGACCAACACTTGCACAGATTGCCCAGAAAAGTTGTGGAGACTTCATCCTTGGAGATACTCAAAAGCCATCAGAACGTGGTCCTGGGCAACTGGCAGTAGGTGGCCCTGCTTGAGAAGTGAGGTTGGACCAAATGACCTCCAGAGGTCCCTTCCAACCTCAGCCATTCTGGGTTTCTGTGAAATATTTACTACACTTTAATAGTCTTACATGGTTACACACATAGCTGCGCTTCCCTCTCTCCCCTCAAAATGAATCTGAGATCTCTGTGTTACATCTTTATACATATATTTTTCAGAAGGAAAAATTACGTACCATAACTCATGGGAACACTTATTTTGAATGGTTTGTAATTTACCCTGTTTGAAAGTTCTCTTTAGTTTAGAATTGTCTTTTGGTTGCCATCAGAATTGATTTGGGTTTTTGCTCAAATTGAAAATACATTTATGTTATCAAAACAAATGTCATTGTGGGGCAAGGATCAAGCACTGCCAATGCTTTTCATAGCAGTGATATGATACTTGATTTTACCTGTTGGGTGTCTGGTAAACCACTTTAGGAGAGAAAAGTCATTCTAACACATGCGCATACGCGCGCATACACACACGTATTGGTATCACCATGTATTTTGTCCTAAATCCAGGCTTTATTAAATGTTCCTGTGGAACACATCCAGGTCAGGTATGATCAGTACAGCTTGGGCTATCTGTTGTTGGTACTTCTCTCCTGTGGAGCTTTTTTTAAACTAACAATCCCTCAGTAAATATTTCTTACTACCAGGTCCGTAAGGCACCCTGCAACCGGGGATCTCATCTTCAGTGTACAAGTATATCTGTTTTTTTATGTGAAGCAGGAAAGAGAAATACCTAGTATGTTATTTGATCTTTTCACATCAAAGCCTTTGATGTAAAAATAAATACATTTGTTTTTCTGAGTTAGTATTTCACTCAGGAGAGAGCAATCATGTTCCAACTTCTCCCTCTTGACCAGTAGATGCTGAAACAGTCTGAAAAGTAGAAGGTACTCTAGACTCTGTTTAAGTAAATCTGTAACATAGTATGAGCTTTTTATTCAGGAAATTCAATGAGTTCAGAAGCATGGGGCTGGTAGACAAGATCTGCAGTGGTTTTTAATATAATGTATCAAATGTATCATGTAATTTTATATTGAGTTTACATGCCACATCCTCTTTTTCTTTACAGGGTATATACCCAGTTACTTAGACAAGGATGAGCTATGTGTAGTATGTGGAGACAAAGCCACCGGATATCATTATCGCTGCATCACTTGTGAAGGTTGCAAGGTAAATGGCACGGTGGGAAAGTGGGAATCAGAAATAGCTCTCCAGCTCCTCCATTATACAGACTTCCTGAACTGTGCTGTCATATAAAACAAAGACAGATTAGAAGCGAGTAAGAACATCCAGTACTGTTGATAAGCCGTATCTGGCTATGCTGCTGCATTTCATATACATAAGGAATATAGTTGATTTTTTGCAGTGTTTGCTTCTCAAAAGAAAACAAGAAATTTAGATTTATGCTGTTGCTGTTTTAACTGTTAGCTTTTACATTTCCATTGTTTAATATTTCTTTGGCCAGCATACATCCGCATACTCACAGCAGCTCCAGTGAAGCTGTTTATGCAATAGATTCTGCCTATGGCCATGAAGAGTCTGTAGTGATTAGCAGTGTTCCAGTGCCTTTCATCATCACTGTGAAGAAGCAAAAATCAAAGTCCCTTCCACATGCTCATAAAATGGTAACATCCATCACTTTGGGAAGCACTGACACCCAGTTAAAGCAGTTTCAAAAAGATTTTTACTTCTTTATCTTAAGCATATTGAAATGTGCATTCAGCCCTAAATGGCATCTCCAAAGCTACATGCAAAATTAAAAAAGAGATTGCATTGGGCAAGTAAATTAAAAAAAAAAAATGAGTAACACAATCAGGCACATCTTACATAATTTCACTGCTATAAACTGTTATAAATATGCCTGAATAGCTTGAGATCATGTAAGAAAACTATTCTTTCCTGCAGAAAATAACAAATTATTGTATTTCTAAACAAATGGGACCACACATGTCTTGGACTAGTGTCATGGGACCAAGCCACAGAAGTCATATTCTCTCCATCCCCAAAGTCTGGAATATTTGGATCTGAGATTTTGGATTTGGATTGGCTTTAGAGCCCCACATCACAGTAACTTGTGTTGAAGTAGTTCCTTCAGTTGTACAGCATTGCCCTAAGACACATTTATGAAATGCACGAAGACCTACGTATAGCAGATTTGTGGTAATATTCATAATGGGTTTCTGCACATGCATATATAATACGTATGAAAAAATATTTCTATCTGAAAAAAACTTGTGAGACTGAACAAGCATTTGCATCCCATATACCAGGTGACATATACATGAAATATATGAATATCACTTAATTCAGATATAATGGGAAGTAAGCTACACTGTGGCATTATGAAATACCTTTTTCTCCCAGCTGAACAGCTGTATCTCTCATCAGCTTTTCTATTAAGGTTTTTGTTGCTCCAACCAAAGTATCTCTTTTTATGTCTACCAAGTATTTTAAAGATACAGCATACAAAATCCACTTTTATCTTCAGGTACAGTTCTTTTATCTGATGTACAATTTAAAATAATCCTTCTGTGCACAAGGAACAGCTAACCATTTGCAAAAAGTAATTAATTTTTTTCCCCCTATTTGTAGTTGGCTTACAAACAGACCGTTTTGTTTTGTTTTGGTTTGTTGTTCTTGCAAATGTATTCATTGTACAAGATGGGGGGGTTTGTGTGGACAATTTCAACACATACTTTGGAGGATCTCTCATGAGATCCCACTTGGAGTACTGCGCGCAGTTGTGATGTCCCCTATGTAAGAACAGCATGTTGGAGCCAGCCCAGAGGAGGGCCACAAGGATGATCAGGGGGCTGGAGCACCTCCTGTATGAAGACAGGCTGAGGAAGTTGGGGCTGTTCAGCCTGGAGAGGAGAAGTTGCGTGGAGACCTCATAGCAGCCTTCCAGTATCTGAAGGGGGCCTATAAGGATGCTGGGGAGGGACTCTTCATCAGGGACTGTAGTGGTAGGACAAGGGGTAATGGGTTTAAACTTGAAGAGGAGAGATCTGGTTTGGATATAAGGAAGAAGTTCTTTACTGTGAGGGTGGTGAAGCACCACAACAGTCTGGCCAAGGAGGCTGTGAATGCTCCATCCCTGGCAGTGTTCAAGGCCAGGTTGGACAGAGCCTTGGACAACCTCATCTAGTGTGAGGTGTCCCTGACCATGGCAGGGGGTTGGAACTAGATGATCTTAAGGTCTTTTCCAACCCAAACCATTCTGTGATTCCATGATTTATTAGCAAAGTTATATATAATCAATTCTCAATGAATTTGACATTTACTAGTTGCTTCCACTCAAAATCACTTTAATTTTATAACAACATTAATCAAGGCTGCCAGCCAAAAATCTGCTTTGGCAAGCGCTTTCATGAACAAAGCATCCTCACATATGATTTCTGAAGAGTAAATTGTAAGGAATTTAAACACAAATAAACAAAGGGTGAGTTCTGGCATCAATGAAATGTTTCTCTGGACTGTATCCATTGCATCTATTGCTATATAGGTGCATAGTAAAGGAATTTAGGAAAAGAGTAGTTGCCTTACAATAAAATGTGTTTTCTTTTATTAATGAAAATATCACTTCCATGATGAAGTGTTTGGACAAATACAGAGAACAGCTTCCTTATCACATTGTATCTAGAAATCATCAAAGAGATTTTCTGCAAAAAGTTTCCAACAAATGCAAAGAAATGGGAAGGTGAAATGTTCTGCTCCCAGTGCAGGTGAAGAAGGGCCTTGTCACTGTAAAACTAGAGCTATGTTAAGTCCCGTGCAAGGTTTGGAAAACAGAAGTTCAGTACCACTTTGTGAGACTCACCAGAGATTCTTCCATCTCTCACTGTAACTAGAGATTGCTTCATGTCCTTGGTTGTCCAGAGCCATCTTTGACCCTCAGGGTGGAGAGGGACAGATCCTGTCTCTAGGAATTTGTCACAGGGTTGAGAGTGGATTCAAAACCTGTTGTTGGGTAGATGAAAGTTTGAGACTTGATCCAAACCCCACATAAGGTCATCTTAACTGTGAATTCCTGGATTTTGGCTCAACCTAATGGGTCCCAGTCTTGCAAAGGCTCACACACACACTTTATGCAACTCATTTTAATTGAGATTTCGTGTCTTACCATTATTAAGGAAGAAAAAGTTGCACTCTTAGCTCAAGTTGGATCATGTAAGCTAAAACTCTAATGAGGACAAGGTTCTTTATTGTGTTCACTGGAATTAGAAGCTCAAGCTGAAGTACAGACTTATCCATACATCTTAATACAACATTCTCTGTTAATAGAAATTACACACTGCTGTAAGATTTTACCAGGTGTTATTTAGCATGATTAAAAACAGAACTTTTGCTTTGTGAAGTGAAGAGACTGTTCATTAGATAAAATCCCACCTGAAGAGGCTATTTATTAGGTAAAATCTCACTTGAATTTTGCCATTGTTTTCACTGAAACCAAAGCTATTCTCAGTGGCCTCAGTCAAACAGGACCAGGGCCCCAGAGTGTTCTTTATGTCAGGGCAGTCGCAAGCTGCACTGCTGGGTGTAGGCAGTCTCAAACAATGATGAAACTTGAAATTAAAGTCTATGTTTCTTGCTTTACAGCTTGTCTTGTCCATATCTTGCTGTCTTGGGTGGTTTATCCAGGTCTTACAGCAGCCAATGAGAAAAGTGATGTTGAAATTAGTACCAGGATTAGGTCCGTAATGTTCAGACAGAAGTTGTGCCTGATTTCCTTACCTAAGGCCAGGGTTTATGGGGTGTTTGCATAATTTTTACTCTCACCCAGATTTGGTTGTTTGGCTGGTTTGTTGTTCGGGTTTTTTTGCTTTGATGGAAAGAAAGGAGTAGCACTGTTTGTTCTTAATCCTGTAGTAGCACATACACACCACCATTCCTACTATTTGAAGAAGCTGCTCTTTAATTAAAAGTATGTATGCGATTCTTAATGTCCCTCTAAATGATTATGTAATTTATAAAGGAGCTCAAAATAAACTCTCTAGTTCAAATACAAAATAAATTAATGCACAAGAACGTGACTTCAGGAACACATGTAGACAGTATTTATCTCTCAAGACAGCGTTACTTATGCTTTTACTTACCCAAGATGTCCATGATTTTACTTTTTAGGGAGGAAATGTTTTCTGAAACTCGGAATGCTATACACTATAAAATTAGTTTTCCTCTATGAGAGTTTTATGGAATGGAGTATGTTATCTTACATTCTTAGGTACATTTCTACCAAACCAAGGTGGCTCCCAATTTGAAAAAAATTGTGCAACGCTAATGCTTTCCAATGTATTTATTTATTGCACTTAGGGTTTTTTTAGAAGAACCATTCAGAAAAACCTCCATCCAACCTACTCCTGTAAATATGAAGGAAAATGTGTGATAGACAAAGTAACAAGAAATCAGTGCCAGGAATGTCGCTTCAAAAAATGTATCTTTGTTGGCATGGCAACAGATTGTAAGTATATTTGTCTGGTTTTCTTTCTTTTTTCCTTTTTTTACTGTGTGTGTTTGCTTAAACTATGTTGGGTTTTGAAGATTGTTAAAGTAGAGCAGAACTGCCAGCACTTTTTTAATAACTTGTAGTGGGGAATTATGTCCATTGCATCAAACCACTCTTATAAGGCTGTAATTTTTGTTTACCCTTCTCCAGACTGCACCTTCTCCTGGCCCTACCAGGCTGAGTAACAGTAGGAATGTTCACTCTGGAGGAGAGGAGGGAAAAGTACATCTGAATGGACACTTTGCTTAAGAAAAAAACATCTTGTTTAGAAAATTCTGGAGGATGTGAAATTGAATGTCGTCGTATGAGTCATCCTGCAGTTGTTTGTTTTATTTTTAGCCCTGAAGAAGTTATCTGCTGCAAAGAACTCGACTCTCATTCTAAAGTACTAGAAAATATGGCTGTAAGATTAACCCTTAGGGGGTCCTCTTTTTCTGCCTCTGCACAGGGATTTACACCAATAACTTCAATTAGTGCAGGTGGGAGGAAGTCACATGAATCCCCCTGTGCGTTAATGTTAATGGTTGTTGCTGGCGTAATCCTCTGCAGAAGGACTGGCAGGAAACCAGGCCTAATAAACAACAGAAAAGCACTCTAACTTAGTATTTCTCATTGTTAATGTAATGTATAACAGTACCTTCTGTCTAGAGGGAAATAGAAGAAATAACACAATTTCATTTTAGCCAGGTAGACTTTCAGGAGAGGAGCTAGATAACCCTAGGTCACCCATTCACATCCAGCCCAGTCTGACACAGAAGGCAGCGGTGAGCATCGGGCAGGTAGCGGATGTATGGAGGGAGAAGTTTCTACAAAGGCTGGTTCTGACCTTCAGGTGCCATTACTCTATGTGCAGCCCTGTGGCCTGTGTGTCTGGCATCACTGGAAGTAGTGGGAAGCTCTGGGAATGCTACAGAATGTCACCATTTGTAGGGTTTGAGGAAAGGGCCGAACGCAGATTGTTTCTGATTGTGTCATACAGCAGGTGGTTGAGCCTCCTGTGAATAAGTGTTCCCAGTTTCTTACATCCACGTTACCTTCTGCTGGCTTACAAGAACACATTCTACACAGTTCAGAGCAGTGAGCATACTGGTACTACTTCAAAGAAAACAAAAGTGCATCTTTCCCATCATAGATTAGTGCAAGTCTGTTAACTTTGAGTCCTCACAAAGCTTTTATATATTAGTTTTATCGGCAGAATGAGCCACTGAAGGTAATGGCAGTATACAAAATGTTACCAGAAGGGTAAGTCACTCTTTGCAATCCAGGCATCTGAGAAAATGAAGTTCTCTTATGTCTCCCTCCAAACTGTGTCATCTGCAGGTCTTACCAAAATGCTTTTTTACTGATCAGTTAAGGTGTTTGTAACCAATTACTACCTCAGCTGTAGAAAAGACCAAGGTTCAGACAGCCATAAGAGCTTCCTGCCATTTCTTTATGCTTTTTCCCCTGCTAGTGGTGTTGGATGACAGCAAGAGGTTGGCAAAGAGGAAGCTGATAGAAGAAAATCGAGAGAAGAGACGTCGGGAAGAGCTGCAGAAAACCATTGGGCACAAACCAGAGCCAACAAATGAGGAATGGGAGCTCATCAAAATTGTTACTGAAGCACATGTGGCCACCAATGCACAAGGAAGCCATTGGAAGCAGAAAAGGAAATTTCTGGTAAGGACTGTAGCCTTTTACACTGCTCTTGGAGCCAGGTTCCTTTATTTCTCCTGAAATCCCTTCCCAACTTTGGAACCCCAAAAAGGGTATATCTGCCAGTGTATTGACATCTATGAAAAAGGGATGATTTTTATAGTTATTGCTTGCTTATTCTTGCCTGAAGTTCAGGGTTTGATCAGACCACATACTTTGAAAGATAAACAGCGTGTTGCTAGTTAAGACTCGCTCAGCTGGATAATCTTAATGTGCTATTAGAAGAAAAAGTAGAAGAATTGTTTCACTCCTGAATGACAACAGTAGCATATTATATATATCTAGGGATAATTGTTTTTATTAGGACCTACTATGCAACATATTCTAAGTCTTAAAACAATGTGATGTTTTAGGTGAAAGGTGATGTTTTTTATTAATAACCCACGGTCTTAATTTTCTTGTTTCAAAGTGAACATGTTAATTAAAATAAATCTGGCAAAGAAAAATTAATTTCAATGAGAGCAGGATGATACATGCACTATAGCATTGGGATTGCAGACTACAAGACAACTTAAGTTTTCAGCCTGTAACTAAGGATCAGAATCTAAATGATGATTTGTGATGCTCGGCATTAGAAAAGGATTTATTTGATTTTTCTAAATCGATTTTTAAAGGAAATAAGTGCAGAATGCAGGATGCTGATACAGCACAGAAGAGGCATTATAGACCGTGTTTCAGGAATACACAAGGGTCTTTAGCAGCCTGTGTATAGCAAGTCAAATAGAGAATACTCATTTTCTGCAAGCCTAGGCTCCTGCTGCCTAATTCACTGTTGGAATCTTAACCCACTGTTCAATTGATTAGAGAAATTATATATTCAAACCAGCTGATCCCTTTTATAATGTTTTGTTAATGCCAGTGGGACTGTCTAAATTTCTGTATGAATTCCGTGTTCATAGTGTGCATTGGGGAAACCACAGTCAGCGATTGCTGGCAAGAAGCAACAGAGCACTTTCCAGTGGTGCTGCAGAGCAGTGTTTGTGGTGCTGGTTTTAGCAGACCAAGCAGCAGCTGCAATAGTGTGTTTGGCTGCTTAGACAGGAGTGCAGTTCTTTGGGTATTGCCTGGTTCAAGATAAAGCACTCGTAGCTTGACACTGGGGCTGGGAATGAATACACTGGACCACATAAAATGTGCTCATTGAGGAACTTCAGGCTCTGAAAACAGTCACAGTGGAGGGGGAACCTCCAGCAAAGGGTGCCCTGAGGCAAGGCATGAGGTGAGGTGATGACAGAGCTATTGAGAGAAGGGAGGGATGGAGGAGAGGCAGGAGGGGCAGTTGTAATGGGCAGCTCAGAAACCAGCTGTGACTTCCACAGCTGGTTCTAAGGTCAGACCGAACTGTTCTTGGTGCAGCCCTCACTGCAGTGCCTCCTGGTTGTTTGCAGTGCTCACATGCTGAAGCCTAGTGGTTTCAAGGCAAGCATAGGAAGCTCGCTGACACCTTACAGTGAGCACAGAAGGAAAAGTCCATGATGGTATGCCAGCCTCAGGTGGAGGACTTGGAAAGCCCCAGTCACAAGCTTCTGAAGAACCATAGGAGCTGACTGCATGTCCCAGGAGCTGTGGGTCTGTCCTTAGGCAGCTGAGGCTGGTTCTTCAACAGCAGGAGCTCCTTTGAGGTTTGGACCTCTTTTCCTACTGAGGTGAGTTAGGTGGCAAGGACTCTCCAGTTGCTTGCCCTTCTGAAGTATATTAACTTTAGCTAGCGATCCTGACTTCTTTTGCCTTTACCAAGAAAATGCTGAGTTCTAGCTTTTATTCCCTAACAATGTTATGCATGTTTTTAAGCATTTGGTCTTCTTGCTTGGCAGTGATGAAGGTTATTTATCATGAGCACACAGACAATTTGGTTTAGTTTCCCAAGACCCAGGGAGGGAAGGACCTACAACTGGGATTATTTTAGCTTCTTATTGGGACACATTGGATAATTGAGCCCAGTCCTCTTCATTGTTCCTTTACATTTGGTGCTTGCTTTATTAACACATTGCTGAGGTTTTTTTCTTGAAAGAAGTTAGATTTGGGTTCAGATTGGTGACAGACCTGTGGAAGGATCTTTTATGATGTGTTGCTTTTAAAATATAGCCAAGCACGAATTTTTATTACAGACAGCACTTTCAGCACCTCCCCTGTTCAGGTGCCCTTATATAAATGCCAAGAAGTCTTAAAGGCCACCTTCTCTGGGGTTTATCCAGTTTTTGACTCTCTGATGTGAATAAATCAAACCTCTGCATGGTGGCTGGCAGGTCTTTTACAACCACAAAGCCAGACTTTGGGAACAGAACAGCTTTGATATGCATGTTTTTAAAATACACAGGAACATTGACAAGCTGTTATAAAAATCAGGTGAACAAGTTCAAGTGAGTTGGAATAAAGAAACACTCATCATAGATTCTGCTTGAAATTATTTCATTGTATATTTCATTGGATTAAAGTTTTTTCCCTTTTGGAGAATCCTCGGGCTGCAGTCATGCAGAAGGTGATTTTCAACCAAAATGTTACTCAGAGAAGCTCAAATTCTAGTCATTTTATCCAGGCTCACTTTGTGTTAGCCAGTTCATAGTTATCAGTTGTTTTAGCCTAGTTTTGGAAACAGGCCTTAGCAGTTGCCTGGAACTCTGTGATGCTAGGCAATCTGTTCTGGTGGGGATTTCAGAACTTCGAGTATGTGAAGGAGCCCAATTCTGCAGAGCTGTCAGTATCTTCTCAGGAGTAATAAAGTCACCTCAGCTTCCTCTAGATAAACTTGAATGTTCTCAGCACCTGTAAGAACCAATAACAAGCTTATAATTTTAAGCAAAAAGAATGCATATAAGCTACACCCACAGAATACTCAGGTACAGGCACAAGGAAGAAACTGCATGTGCACACCAGTGCAGCTGCCCACACAGGATGGGTAGTGGTATGCCACACACCCGTCTCTCTCTGCAGTCACCTCTTTCACATATGCCTTAGAAACAAAAGGTGGCATAATGGGCATTACTCACAAAGCAAATTGTGGTATTTTTTATTTCAGCATACCTTCCATCGCCAAGCAGGACTTTCTAGCATATGAAATAGTTGCTCTGAGATAGATTATTCCTTTAAATATCTTTGTTTGTATCCTTAGCCAGAAGATATTGGGCAGGCACCAATAGTTAATGCCCCAGAAGGTGGGAAAGTGGATTTAGAAGCCTTCAGCCAGTTTACAAAAATTATCACACCAGCGATTACAAGAGTGGTGGATTTTGCCAAAAAGTTGCCTATGTTCTGTGAGGTAAGAAGACTTCCTTGCACTCCTCATGTGTATATCTGTTGTTAAAAACTATTGAAACTACTCCTGGCACGAAACTAAAAGAATCACCCTGTTTAAAATCAGAAAAATTAAAGAGACTCTACATGGATGGGACTAGAATCATCTGGAATTGTATGGGTTTTCTTTTTCCTGTGATCACGAAATCCTGATTTTGTTCATGTAGAAGTCATGGTGGTTCATTAGGAACTCAAATGTGTCTTTAGAGGTGGCCTTGAACAAAGCAAGTGAGCAAAAAGCGACTGACTAGAAGCATCTTTGAATCATTTAATCAGATCTTCCAGCACACAGTTCCCTCTGTGCTTTCTGGCTCCTTGGCAGGTACAGTATTGTGGAGTTAGGTCTACACGGTAACAAATTCTTCAAATTCAGAAAGCATCCCTATCCAGGAATGGCAGTTGCCTTATTGTGTTCTCTAAGCTTGTTTTTCCTAAACAGTGAAATTGTGCATGAAAGAGTCTGTAAAAGTAATGGATTGTCATTCCGGGTAGATACTTACACGTAAAATACACAATAAATAAATAGACTGAATTGCACGTTAGGAACACAGAGGCCCTAGCCTGATCTCATTTACACTGGGGTATCATTTTATTGAAGGACCAGGCACAATGGCTAATGATATTTTTTTCCTAACTTAAAAAAATTTATCAGAACTGCAGTCTGGAATGATATTTCAGTCTGAATGATCTTAATGATGTTTTAACATGGAAATATCCCCAATCCAGCCACAGAAGGGTGCCTGCCTGCTTGCCCACACTGCAGAGCAACACTTGGCTCTGCTGGTGAAATGCCAGTGGTGAATTACATTCAAAATGGGAGTGACCATGGTCAATGAGCATTGAGCTTCCTAACTCAGGAACAGTGTTTCTTCTTAACAATTAAACATCATTCAGGAAGGAAGTTTAAGGCAGCCATAGCATTTTACTCTTCTGTGGCTGGCAGCTTTCCTTTAAGGTCAGTCAAGGAAAGCTATTTATGTCCTCTGGCACCTACAACACAAGAAGAGGTAAATATCAATAGTTGGCATAGTGTAAATAGCTCTCCCTCACTAACCTCAGCATTGGCTCCATCAGACAAGTTAAATAGCTCTCCCTGGCTAACCTCAGCATTGGCTCCATCAGCCAAGAAAGCGTGAAATAGTGGCCAAGCATGCAGATTTTAAAATACAAGGAATGTGTCCGTAGATCAAGAGGCCACTACAGCATTCAGTGTCTGAGGGAATTTGTCTTCTCTGATTTGGCATTAGTTGGTGGGAAGCTGAGGTTGACATACTTGTTACTTTTCCATATACGGCAAGGTCTGATAGCAGAGTAAGGGACAACTCGTTGTGAACACAGAGGAGTAGGACAGCTCTCCTCCGAGTTGTCGTATAGCTCCTGCTGTAGCATAAAGAAAATGGCAACTGTTCACTCCTTTTTGAAGGGGAGAAGTAAAGGGCAGGAACCTGAGGCACTCAGCTCAATTCCATGTGTGCTGGCTGCCAATATGTCCTGCAGAGGTGAGCACCTCAGGTTCCTGCCTTCTGCTTTTTCCCCCTGCAGAGAGAAAAGGAAAGGACAATATGCGGCAGATAATCTGCCACATTTGTGGACCTCACTCCTGGAAGCAATGCTCAGTGGTAAGCATAGGTAGCATTGAAACCTGTGTAGCTGGGAGCAGAACTGACGTTCAAGCCCCTGTCCTTGGTAACTGCTGCTACTGGCAGATAAGACCGGAGGCTTGGCATCTGTGAAGCAGGTATCCCATGTATTTTTAAGAATTAGGAAAGCAGATGAAGGACAGACATAGTCAGAACACAATGATCATAAAGAAGTTTTAAGAAGGTTCAAGTAGGAAGAGAGATTCTCATTGGTTTAAGTTACTAACAAATACTTTCCATGCTGTTATCTGTCTCTTTTCCACCACTCTTCCTTCTCCTTAATTTTTTTTCTTGATTTCTCTTTTCTTTCTCCTTCTCTTATGCTTTATCTCTCCTCTCCCTTCTCCTCCCTTTCCCATCCTTCTTTTCCTCTTCCCTTCTCATCCCTTCCCTCCCTTTTCCTTCCCTTTTATTTCATTTTATTTAATTTTATTTCCTTTCTTACTTTGTTTCTCTCCCTACTTCAGTCTCAGCAGCCAAACAATGGCACTTTCATTGGGTAGTGAGACTGCCACTGTGCCTGTGCAGCCTTCCATACACTGCTGCTGAGCTGAGTGCAATCAGCAGAGAAAGTGATTTGCCCTGAACAGGATGAGTCATTCTTCTTGTGTATCAAACACTTCACACCTGAAGTTGGCATTGCTGGAAAACTAGCTGCATGATTCAACTCCTTTTTCTGACTGTGGCCAGCTTTGTGCTTAAAACTATTCTCTAACAGGAAGCAGCCTTCCACTTGAGTTGGGTAGCTGCCTGGCATCCACTCTGCACCATTTTACACCAAATCAATGTACTTGCTTTGCGAGTACATGGTTGCCATGTAAACCTGTAATCGGTGGGGGTTTCATTCTGAGTTGCGAATCGCAGAAATATAATAACTTTGTGTGAATCAGAGATTGATGGATTTTTGCCTCCTTTCAAGCCAAGTAGAAATGAGTTGCTTTTTCGTCTATGTGACCCTTGCTGTTTGAGACTGTTAGAGACAGTCTCAAAATAGTCTTGGTGGGTTTTGCTATCATTAAATTACCTGTGAAAACATAAAGACATGCTTTACAGAATGCATTGTCCTAACACATCAGCATCCTTGATAGTACTTTATAATACAGAACCTATCTCCACCAGTTCAGACAGCTTACCTTTTTTGGTATTATGGAAAAGACATGTCTAGCCACATGCCCTGAAGGTCGAGGCTTATGCACCACTGTAAAAGCTGGAGCTATACCATAGATTTTCTGTCTGTCCAGCAGTAATATGGAGAGCCTAGGGAGATCAGCCTTACTAGGCTATAAATATAGCTTAAGTTTTCTGTTGTTTAAAAGGGCAGTGAGAATTAGGGTACATGCCATACTCACTGATTGAGGTATCTTTTCTAGAGACAAGAATTTATTTCACTCCTTTTGTTTAAAAAGCTGTTCACTCTTACAGACCCTTCCAAATGTCTGTCTTTTCCTCTGGCCAGGTAAGAAGTGAGCATGGCTGGCAGTGAGTTTAACTGGGATGACTGAGGTCTGTACCAGCCCCAATTATACTTTATTTTGTTATGCTAAGATTTAAGCTGAGGGAGCTCAGGAGTAGGAGAGAAGGGTAAACAGCTGAGAACAGTGACCCCTGCAGCCATCTCAGTTAGATCCGCCCCTGATGGGAGCCAAAACCAATAGTCTATGTTACCACCAGCCTGGCACCTGACAGGTCTGCTTCACCATTCACACTTTGTTAGATCTTCCGCAAAATGGAAAGCTACCTTCTTAAGGTTTATTTGACTTAATTTTATAATGCTCCTACAAACAGTGGTCCCACGGAGAGCAGCACATCTGCAAGTTGGGTCACTTCACCTCAGCATCTGAAATAGCTTGATTTGCTTTGAGTGTCTTGCCCAGGACTAACTTGCCTATAGCTGTGTCATCACTGAAGTTCCGAAGGGTGTGGGGGGATGTTAACCTGCTGGCAGTGTCTAAAAGCAGAAGTGTGAGTCTTGAAGGTCTGTGTGGTGCAGTCAGTCAGCAATGTGTTTGGAGAGTAGTTGTGCTGTGCAAGGTAGTGTCCTGGGGGTGAACTGCACCTTCATGCTCATGGATTTATCGTAGTTGTGACACCAGCTTAGTTTGAAAAACATATGTTTTCCTTTACTGTTTATAATTTCTGCAGCTGCCATGTGAAGACCAGATCATCCTTCTGAAAGGCTGCTGTATGGAGATAATGTCCCTCCGAGCGGCAGTTCGCTATGACCCCGAGAGTGAGACTTTAACACTGAATGGGGAGATGGCAGTGACAAGGGGCCAGCTGAAAAATGGGGGTCTTGGCGTAGTGTCTGATGCCATTTTTGACCTGGGTATGTCTCTTTCTTCATTTAACCTGGATGACACCGAGGTTGCCCTTCTTCAGGCTGTTCTGCTCATGTCATCAGGTGAGAACAAAAGCATATTGGGAACCCAACCATTTTAAAACTCTTTAGTCTTTGTCACATTCCTCTTTTTAAAATGAATAGGGTATGTTAGATCTTGTAGTGCTGACTAGAGTAATGTGGGAGAAGTTTCCTCTCAAAAACTCCTTGCAGCTTAGAATTACTTTGCTCAGCACTAGGGAAAAAAACCCCAGGATATTCAGAGAGATGGGCATGAAGGTGGCTTTGGTAACACACCTGCTCAGTGTAGTACTTAGGGAGGAGGCAGGGATGATCATCAGAAAGAAATCAGATCTGGTTCTGAGCCAATTTCCCTTGAATGAAAACCTGGTTATTTAGCAATAGTTGTTTTTTTTTCCCTACATCCTGTCATGCACTGGGTGGTATGTACAGTTCATGCATGTTTCCATCAATGCTTGTATGCTCATATGGCACCTGCCAACTTACACCACTTGTTCTTGGACACTTGAGAGCTGTGCTGTTTCCCCACACAGGGACCATTTACAACTGGTCTCTTGGTGATGTAATACAGAAGCAGTACATTTCATATGAATGCAAAGTTTCTAACCTTCTCAAATCAAGTATGTTTTCAAGTATGATTCCACTGACTGTGCCAGCCCAAAGAGGAAATGTCATTCTTGGGCAGAGACAGATTTGGCAAGATTTTGGTTTAAGACCACTTTGAAGGTTGGGCATTGAATAATAAAACACAGACAGGGATTTACAAGCATTAACTATGTCTGAGACAGAAAGGTTTCCACATTAATCACAAGTCAGCACTTGACTTTCCCAGTCAAAATTTTGATTTCTTTTTAGTTCCCTCCACCATGATACATGAGTAGGGGGTTCAGAAAGACCTGCTTTCCCAGAAGTGTCTCCCCAAGAATGGCTTGTGAACAGAGCTTTCCCAGCACCCACCTGGGTGCCAATTGAGACTATCAGCCAGACTTTTGGCCTTTGTGGTTCCTTAATGCTCCATAACAGTTTTCTTTGCAGCTTTCCAGCTGTGAGACACTGGCACATGGTGCCCAGAGAAGCTGTGGCTGCCCCATCCCTGGCAGTGTTCAAGGCCAGGTTGGACACAGGGGCTTGGAGCAACCTGCTCTAGTGGAAGGTGTCCCTGCCCATGGCAGGGGATTGGAACAAGATGATTTTTGAGGTCCTTTCCAGCCCAAACCATTCTGTGATTCACCTGTGGATCAAAGCTTGACCAAAGCACTCATCGTACTGTAGAGAAACAGATAGGAAAGAACTGCGATTTAGATATCTGACAGTGAAAATATTTTGGTTCTTTATTAGTTGTTTCATAGAAAGGTATAGATAGAAGCCTTAGCTGAGATCAGGGATCTGTTGCTGTAATCACTGTAAGGAAACACATCCCAAACAGCTATCAAAGCAGGCCAAGGATGAAGAAAGGATTATCTCCTTGTTCTAATGAGGATAGTACTGATAAGTGGGGTGTCCAGGGTCGAAGAAGTTATTTGTGGCAGATCCAGAGGTCTTTGGATCCTCCTTTCATTCCTAACAACAGAGTCATCCTATTTTTCCTGATTTATGATCAGGAATTTGTTAAAGTGAATAAGTAATAACGATAATCCTGCTTCTTTGTATCTACAGATCGCCCAGGGCTTGTTTGCGTCGAGAGGATTGAGAAGTGTCAAGAGGGTTTCCTCCTGGCATTTGAACACTACATTAATTACAGAAAACACCATGTTGCACACTTTTGGCCAAAACTGCTGATGAAAGTGACAGACCTGCGAATGATCGGAGCCTGCCATGCCAGCCGCTTCCTGCACATGAAGGTGGAGTGCCCCACAGAACTCTTCCCTCCGTTGTTCCTGGAAGTGTTTGAGGATTAGAGAGACTGGAGCGGTTCTCCACACCCCCATCACACTACTGGCTGTCATTTCATCCCGTTGTCCAGCTCCTCTCACCTGTGTTTGTTCTTCTTCTTTCATCTCTTCTGTTTCTTGAGGCGGGGTTGGGTTTTTGTTCAGTTTTTCTTCTGGGGTTGCTGGGGGGCAGTTGTGTACACATGGATGAAAACATCCCTTTAACGCGAGTACTTGTGACTTTTGACTATTGCAATTTGTTCTTCGGTCCTTTGATGTGAGTGCTTTGACAGCTTAACAGTGAAAATACAAACAAATCATTCACCAGCACTAGTGTGGTCACCAGCTCACACACATCATTGCTTGGAAACTATGGGAGAGAAATTGAAGTGGCAGAAAATAAATTGGCCTCCAAGTTAAAACAGCTATTGCTAATTTGACCCTGGCAATTCTGTCTAGTATTACCTCATTTTGCAGGGCACGAGTGACCAATTCATGACAATTTCTAGCCTTCATGGTTTTTTCTATTGTAACAATCACCATTATGATCTAAGATCTCCATCATCATCATAATCACATTATTACCTGAGGATTGTTCCAGCAGATACAGTTTAACAGTGCCTCATAAATCAAGTACTTAAAATAACACAGATTTAGAAGAGACTGGCTCTTTTTTTTTTCCATGTGTATAAGAAATCAAGATCCTTCAGTTCTTACTACATTTGAAATCCAGGTAACTTCACTGGAAGGTCTGCTGGAGTAAGTGGGGGAGTATGATCCTCTGAGGTGCTTTTCCTGAGAGTGGAGAGGTCTGCTGTTTGTGAGGTGAGTGGCAAATTCGTCACTCTGAGGGATAAGGCTCTCTGTCAGTATAGCAGGCTTTCCTTGGAGTTATTCAGGGATATGAATGCTCGCAGAATGAGGACAAGAATAAAGTATACGGGGTGACCTTCAGATGGGACAGAAACCAACTGTGTTGTTAATGACACTCAAGACTGTACAGCTTTATTCCAGTAATACAAATAGTGTTGCTTGGCAGTAATCTTTTGTTTTATATATATATATAAAGTTTATATGCATGTATAGATATAATTTTATATATATATAATTACAAAACTTCAGCGGATGTCTTAAACATATTTCCATTTTTTTCTTCTTTTCTCTCTCTCCTACCTTCTCCTCTGTGTGTGTGTGTGCATTTATGTGTGTTGATCAGCCTGGTTCTCCCTCGCTGGTGTCTGTATGTGTTTTGTTTGGCTAGATTCTCTCTCCATTCCTTTAATTTATTTCCACTAACTGCACTAACAGGAATCAAACTTAGCAATGACAGGATATTGTGCTGCCAAAATCTGCAAGCCAGTACTCACAGTCCCGGAACGTTTGGAGGCCGGTGATGAGGGCACGATAGGTGGAGGTTCCTCTCTGTCATACATCTCCATTCAGGGGTGTTGTCCCTGGGTTTTATAAACTTGATACTAAACCGTTCTCTGAATTTGTATGATCTACATCAAAAGCATCCTTCTGTTCTTCCTGGGAACCAGAGATTCAGTTCACCTATTCTGCACTTCCTCATACCCCCTGTTCTTTCATGTTGTGCATGCATTTATACCAGTTTCTTTCTCTGCTATTTATGGATACATTTGCCTGGCAAGTCAACGGGCATTGTTAGGGTGGATGTGTTGACTTTCAAAGCTCATGGCCCGTATCTTAATCCGTATGTTATTGTTTATCCCCTCATGAAAACATGATACTCAGGAAAATTTACCTTGTTGGTGGAACACAGTATGTGTGTGTCAGGGGTTGAATTCTTCCAACCCCTCTTTTCCTGCATCATTGATAAAGCATTTGGAGTGCTGTTGGGTGTGTTTTCAGGGATGTGGAATCTTGTTCTCCCTGTTCTTTGATACCGTATGCACCTGTGATGAGGTGTAAGCACTGATGTTATCACTTAGGGGTTTGTACCCATAATTTTGTGAGAACATAAACCACAATGGGGTGTTTAGGGTCTTTTGTAGGTAGCAAGGAAGACAGACCATTGGAAATTTGCTCTTAAAAGTTTGCTGATATTGAAGAACCTCCATTGTGGGCTCCATCTTGATGCATCAACATCAACAGTCTCTATCTAAATTCCTTGTAGAGAACTATTTCTGGGGGACAAGGAGTTAGAAACTTCCTAGCTTTTTGGAACACGAGGCCAGACAATGTGATGAACTCATATGTACTCCTGCAGAATCTCAAATGAGCAGCATCCATAGTAAAGAGTGCAAGATACCTGATTTGAGGGGTGGTTTGGTAGGGAACTGATAGAACATAGGGAAAGCAGAAAACCAACAGACCCATTACTTGTATCTATACCCACAATGTCTTGCAAAGAAAAGTGTGCATGTCTTCTGGAGTTCTACTCTGCCACAGATCTGAGCATGGAGTTCCTCATGAAGCCAGTGCAAGTATATCATCTCTTTGCTAAATATGATCCTGAGCTAGTGTACAAGCTTTTGACTCTGATGTGGCTTGGACGACATGTTTCTCCTAGTAGTACTTGCAGTGATCTCACTACAAGGTCCATGATGCTTCATATATTTTTCAGAGCTTCAGTTTCTGGAGTTCTGCTGCTGCTTGAGAGGTTCCTTCTCTCATTAAGGACAACAATTCCTACCCTTAGGGCTATAAAGAAAATCAGTAGCCTAAATGTTAACTACTTAGGTGGGAAGTCAGTACCCATCCGTGACTTAGCTCATTACTGTTGGGGCCCTCATGGCTGGCTTTTGAACACTCGGGATTGTCAGGACTGTGTTAATCAAAACATAAATAAAGATCAGAGGCTAGAAAACAATGTGGGTGTTACTGGATTGACTTCGGGAAAAAGCAAGAGGAGGAAGACCTTGAAGCGCCCTGGACAGAACTGCACCTTGAGACAGTGCTGAGAATTAACACTTTGCACGCTGCTGTAAAAATCATTGCTTGTACAGGAACTTGGCCCCGAGCTCTACCATGGCGAGTTACAAAGTTTTAGAACAGCTTGCATAAATGAATGTCTGAATTCAGGCATGTAAGCTGCATTTGGGCACCTGAGTTAATGGCCTGATTTCCCAAGATGCTGATGCAGTTCGGGGTTGTGCTTAATCAGGGTTCAGAAGATCAGGCTTCCTTCCTTAGGTGGCTGCAGATGGATTGAAGTGCTGAAAATGAGGCAACCAACTTTGACAGGTTCGGCAGGGCTCTAAGCAGAAAGGACATATGTCAACATACTTCTCTAGCTTTTTAGATTAAGCTGGAGTCTGGCCCAGATTAACAGAGCAGGATTAATAGTGTTCAATTGGAAACTAAGACCAAGCTCTTAGTTTGACAGGTTTGATGTGCTGACATCTAATGTCCCCTGATCTCCTACCCATCTTATTTTGTGTGACTTCATATACTCCCTCAGTATGACTGCTGATTTATGTGATGATGAGGGCAAAACTAGATCACATGAGGATGTTCTTGAAGATTCTTGCCAGTGGATACTGACTGTAGTTCTGCAACGACATAGTCGCTTTTAACCATCCAAGTGGCAGACATCAGTACTGCAGTCAGCGTGCTTTGTAGTAGCTGGCCTTCCAAGTAAAATAACACATACACTATCCAGTGCAGTGCAGAATCTCATTTCTGATGGTGCCACGTAAGTCTCATGTTTTCTTTGTTGTCTGTGTGTTGGTCTTACATAGGAGATTCTTCCTGTCAAATCTGATTGTCACCGTTCCTGGTTTTGCCCTGAGTAACACTTGCATTTAGATACTCATTTCGTGTGTAATCTCAGTTAAGTTATGATATTTATAATGACATATATAGTGTGTGATAATGATTTTTGTTTACATTCTGCCAAAATACAGACCTTAAAGATAGACCTCCAAGGTCCAAAATTATTCTTGAGCAGACTGCTTGCTTCTTCAGAGGCAAGCATCAGAAAAGAGTTAGAAACTGTCCAGAAAGACCATTTATATCAGCAATCTGCCAGGACAGGGCTGTTGATCACAAGCGGAGCATGTCATTGCTAGTGATGTATTTTTATGCTATGGAACTCTAACCTGTATGTGTCATATTGACTTCTTGCTGCATGAATCATAAATTATACAAATCGGTCTTATGGTTTTGAGATGTAGCCAGCATTCCTAAGGCTAAACCTTTTTCACCGGTGGAATTAAAATCCACAACCAAGGAACATATTCCTCTCACTGTGAGAGTAATTGAAAGTGTTCAACATTTATCTTTTCACAAAGGAAGAGGCAACAGGACCTCTTAATGTGTCTTGTTATTGTGATCATCTGGAAATGATTGCCAGACGTTTCCTTTTGATACAGCGATGAAGTGATCTGTATTTAAATTTTATAGAGAGAACTTTATTCTAGTGTGATAGAGATTTATTTTCCACTTAAAGACTCAAAACGAAGTGAGCACAGTTTGATTTTTTTTTTTACTATGGTATATTTTTGCTTTAAAATTAAAAACAAACAAAAAAAAAAGGTTTGGCCTTATCACAAAATTTTAGCATAGATGTTAGCAAATGCAAAGAGTATGCATTATTCGTGTGTATCCACATTGACTGATGTCGCCTTCAAAAAGCAATATTGTGCAGGTAATAAGTTGTTTGTGACTGTCCATTGCACAGTTTACCTTCTTTAAAAGCTAATCTTGTTTATGCACAAGACAATCAAATGTAAATCTACATCAGCACCCGGGTGTGGATTAAATTTATGTAAATTACTGAGCACAATGTAAAACATTAAAAGACACTTTATTTAATTACACATTTAATGTTGGTAAAGATAGTATCAGGGCATGAACTAGCTGACATACTGTAATTTCTTTTTCTCTTTTTCTACTTCCTTCGCACTCTTCAGTTTTAGTTTGCTCATAAATACATCAAATTAGTCATTTGTAATCTTTTGGAAGAGAAGGGTGGTTTGGTTGTTTATTTGTTCTTATGAAGCTGGTTGGGACAATGTCTTACTTTGTCTGTGAGGTTTGTGGGTTTTGCTTATTTGGTTTATTTTTTTTTATATCAGTTTCATGCCCTGAGGGTAAGGCAAACATTACACCATACAGTAAAAAACAAAGTACCTTGGATGATGTATTTTTGCAAACAGTGTTAAGAGTTATGCTAGATTGGTAATATTTTTTCAGCCTAAAATATATTAAAACAAAATCTGTGATCACAAATGTTTTAAACTATCTAAAGAGAAAATTTGTATATTTGGGGGAAGAAAATAATTTTTACATAGCTTTTGTATGCAGATATTAAAAT